GAGCAAAGTTTGTCCTGGTGATTCCTACCATATTTCTGAACTTTGGGTAGATGAAAGGTGAATGAATTATACATGAGATTAACCATTAAAAGCTGATTGTTAATGAAGAGATAGAAAACAAACTAGTGGTTACCAGTGGGGAGCGTGTAGGAAGGAAAATTTAGGGGTGGAAAGAGGGAGGTACAAATTACTAGCTTTCAGATAGGATCAAAGGTGTTTTGTACATCATGGGGAATATAGTCAATATTTTGTAATAACTGTAAACAGAAAGTGACCTTTAAAATTATATTTTTTTTTAAAATTAATTGTTAATGATGACAATAATTATGTCCTTGATTCTCCCTAAAACTGGTTTTGGTTTCAAAGTTCAAGAGAGAAGCCAGCCAGTGCTAGCTCTGAAACAGATTGCAAACTCTGTTACTGCATCTTGAGCCTGTAATAGCCATAGGACACTGATAACTGAGTGTAGTCTTTATATCTGCCCAGAATTTCAAAAGTGTCTTATGTGAAAGAATTAGCCTGAGGCTGATACTAAAAGTAGTGCCACTAAATATACACAGATTTCTAATCTTGGTTCTCAAAGAACAGGATTTTTATTCCCCTTACATAGAGAAAGAAACTGTTACATAAGACAGATCCAGGGACACAATGAATGGTGGGGATGATTGGAGAAGCTGTGGAGGCAGATGTCCTGTTCAGAGACCTAGGTGTGTTTCATAGATTAGTAGGTTAACATAGCAGAGAAAAATGGATCCTTCTGTCCCAGTACTTTGCCTTGTCAAGATACAAGTCTTCTTTTAAGCACTGCATTATTCTATACCTCTGAAAAAATAAATTTATATATAAACACATCATACATTCATATCATAAAAGGGGAAGATGGTGGTCACAAAGTCAATTGCAGATTTCATGCTGGCTTTAATTTCTCCCCAGAACACCAGTTTATCACATTTCAAGACAGTCTGTTGGTTCTTGATCTTAGAGATCCTGGAACTGTGAGAATGGAGTAATGGGGGCAAAGAGCTACTTAGGATATTAAACAAGCCTACATCTTTTCTTGATAAGATTGCTAAGAGGTCAAATTCCTTTTCTTTCAGTTGAGCTATGTAAACTCACTGTGGTAACCTTAGATATCTTATGCTGATCAGAATCTGGGTGACAGTGTATGGTTTTTATTGATAATAACTGCTTTAAAATTATGTTTGGTAGACAAATTGTTGTAAAACCTAAAATCCATCAGGGGGTTATAATAATGTAAGGGGAACAGTTGTGAATCATCAGAGAGACACTAGTAATATGAAGAAGCACTATGGTCAAGTCAGCCAAGTCTTTGGTAAGTAATTTCATCAGAAATTCTCAGTCACTTTTGGACCAGCTTAGGTTGTCTCTGAATACTTCCAGAGGGAGTCATTTATTTACTAAATATTTATGGTGCTTCCCTATGGCGCTTCCCTGCCATGTCCTCAGCCTACCTTTTGTCTGAAAAATATTTAGCCAAGGAATAAGTTTAGTCAGAGATGTGAGAAAATGCAGAAACAAAAGAAAACAGTCCAACAAGACCAAATAAAAATAGTTTACTCATTGAACATAGTTAAGAATCTCCTCAAGGGCTATAGATAACATTCTGAGCCATATCCTGTGACCTGTCTATTAGATACTGAAACCTCCACCAGGTGGAAGAAGTTAGCTACATGATGACTAGACTATAGCCATGACATAAGCTGCCACACTTCCAAGAACTGGCCTCAAGAAAATGTGAAAAAGCTGGCCATGGAACTGAAGATTAACTCTAGACTAAGCAATCAGAATGATGCTGATCAGACCACTGATGACCAATTTCAAAATGACTGTCAGAGAAGACTGTGCTATTTCTGAATGTAGCCCCTTCCCTCTGTCTATAAAAGCTCTTGCCTACTGGTTGGCAGTAGGGGGGGAATCAGTCTTCGGGTAGGAGTCTGCTTCCCCGTCCCGCCCCCCTGAAATAAAGCAAACTTTCCTCTCCACCAACCTTGCCTCTTTATTGGTTTTTGAGTGGCGAGTAGTTAGACCCCACTTTCAGTTACATTGAGACCTAGGTGACAAGCACTGTGCCAGGTACTGGGGAGAGAAGGAAGAGTGAGGTAGGTGCCCCATGCTTGTGATACCCTGCCTGACCTTCAGATCATTCTCTGTCCTGCTCTGTGCTCTCAGGAGGCTGATCCCAACAGCTGGAACAACAGGCCTCCCTGGCCTATGGATTCTGGCTGGGTCAAGTCAAAGAGATTACCAGCAGATGATCAAGGGTGAAGGAGAGAAAGACTGGGATGTTTCTTTCCTGTCTTCCTCATCACCCATCCTGGTTGGGCAGGGACTGTTTCTTCTGCTCTTGGCCACTGCTCCTGCCAGGCAGCCCCTCTGCTCTGTCTCCAGCTCTTGCTGGATTCTGGTAACTCTTCCCTGCCCTTGCCCTTCAGGCCTGGAAGTGATAACAGTTTCCCACTGTAGTAAGGCTTTGAATACTTCATCACCCCTTGTTGGAATGACTCATACTGCCTACGGTTCTTAAAAGAAAAAGAAAAAAAACCCTTCTTAAACTTTCTTCAATTAAACTCTAATTTGATTAAGTTTACTGTTTCCTGCTAGGTTCCTGACTGACATTGGTCCTGCCCTCAAGTTGATTACCAAACAAGTCAATAAACAGCAGCTATTCAATGTGAACATGACTGTTATGACAATTCTACTTTCTGGCTTCCTGGGTTAGACATTCACCAACCTGTGGAAGAAAGACATGAAAATTATAGCAACAACCAAGGTAAACACTTAGAGATCACTGAACGAAACTGCCATTTCAACCTAGGCGTATTGGTTTAGAACCTATCATAGGTGAGGAAATGTAGGGGTAGGAGGTTTGAAGAACATAAAATAGGAGAATGGGATCAATTCAGTGGGATTAAAAGCTAATATTAATAAAGGTAAATAAAGTATAAAAGAAAGACTTGGAGTCACAGTAGGGATATAAGCATTTCCCCAATAGCCTCCTCAGTTTTCAAAATCATTTGTAAACTAGAAACTTATTTATATACTGATTAACAAATCATTTTCTGTACATTCCCTCTCATTTGTGAAGCAATGCCTAAATCAGGCATGATAAACATGGAAAGATGTGCTTTGTTCAAGTCACATGGTGATCCAGCATTTCATTTTGGTGTTTTCATCAAGCACAAAATATTCAGCTGTTGCTTCATTTTCCTCAACTCTACTGCAAGAGAGAAATGAACAAGGCAGTTGAAAAAGTGTCCCAGGGTTCATGTAAAAGGGAGCAGTGGTTTCTGATTTTTCTTCCTATTTTAACTATGAACTTGCTCATAACTCTTTGGCCTAGCTGCTGCTGCTGCTGCTAAGTCGCTTCAGTCGTGTCCGACTCTGTGTGATCCCATGGACGGCAGCCCACCAGACTCCGCTGTCCCTGGGATTCTCCAGGCAAGGATACTGGAGTGGGTTGCCATTTCCTTCTCCAATGAATGAAAGTGAAGTCGCTCAGTCGTGTCCAACTCTTAGCGACCCCATGGACTGCAGCCTACCAGGCTCCTCCGTCCATGAGATTTTCCAGGCAAGAGTACTGGAGTGGGGTGCCACTGCCTTCTCCTTGGCATAGCTAGACAGTGCCAATTTCAACCTCTTTCCAAACCCTGCAGAGGAAACAAGGCCTCAGGGGGTCTTTTTTTATACTTTTATTTAAGAATCTGTATGCATTTATTTAAGAAGCACTATTGTATGTCTGTTCTTGTTAGCCTCTCCTTTGGCCACTGAAGACAGACGCAGAGACTTGTGAGGGAACACACACACAGAATATGACAATCTAACATGGCACACACAGTGACCGACTCACACTTAGGCTACTGAGAGAGCAGAGAGGCCCTGAGGTCAGAGGAAGTGTTCTTGAGGAGTGAAGATTAAAATGAATCCTAAAGGAGATGCAGGAATTTGCTAAGATGAGGGAGCAAGTTGGGGGAATAGTCTAGGAATAGGAATAGCAAAAGAGAAAGCAAGCAGGAAAAAGACACCTAAACATAGTGAGTGCAGGAGAAACCCAAGCATTTTAGTGTTGCCGGAGTGTGGTGGGAGGGAGGGCCCTTCAGGAAGGGCCTTAGACTCGTGTTCATGTCCGAGAAGCAAAGTGAAGTTCTGGAATCACTTGTAAGTAAAGGAGCGGCTTGGTCAGATTTGCTCCTTGGCTGTCTCATTCTGGAGATGGTGGGGAAGACAATTCTGAGGGGAATAAGACAAGAGGCAGGGTATAGGGAATTCCCCAAAGCTCTATCTGTAATTACCTTAGAGGGAGATAATTGGACATCAAAACATTTCTCTTTAAGTAGGCAATTTCCCAAAGATTAGGGAAAATGAAGTTACACAGACTGTGTTTTGGTTGAGTGCATTCATCCCTTGATATCCATGGGGAATTAGTTCCAGTAGCCACTGTGGATGCTCAGATTCCATCAAGTTCCTTCCATATCCATGTGTTCTTCATCCAAGGATATAGAGGGCTGATTCAGAAAACTTACACTTAAAAACGCAGTAAATCAGCGACTTCCCTGGTGGTCCAGTGGTTAACTGGGGCTACAGGTTTGATACCTGGTCAGGGAGGTAAGATTCCATATACCTCTTGGCCAAAAAACCCAAAAGCATAAAACAATACTGTAACAATTTCAATAAAGACTAAAAATGGCTTACATAAAAAAAAAAGACACCAACAAAGCCAAACTGACTATCTAAAACAATGTCATGATTCCCAAAGTATCACTAAGCTTGTTTTTGGAAAAAGATAAAGCAGTTAAATCCATTGTATTTAGACTCAGAATCCTCAATCTTGGTTTTCAGGGGAAACAAACCAGTGAAAGATACATCTACTTTTTAAGAGAAAGAGAGCAATAAGTTCTTGCTCTGATAGGAAGCTCTCGCATCAGCGAGGTCTGTGGATAGAGTGCACCTGAGCATGGCATTCTCCCCACCCTTTTCAGGTGATGTCCATTTCTCTCACACTCGCCTCACAAGAGTCAACCAGGGCAGAAGCCGAGCTGCTCTACAGTGAACAGGCCTTCAGTCTCCACCCTGCACTTCCTGTCCATGCGGAGGCTGTGAAATATCCTGCTCTGAGCCTCAGGTAAGAGGATATAGTACAAGGGGGTTGGTGCCACTTCCTACTTTGCTCTCAAAAAGCTTTTTGGTATTTTAAAGAACAGAAAAAGAGTGCTCGTTGTGGTCGTTCCTGTGGATGGACTTGGACAATCTGGACAAGTCTGTTCAAAGCTGTACTGTAACAGGCAGGGACTCGTGTTGATGTTTGTTGTAGGAATTTGGGCAAGAGATGAGAGAACAAATCACAAACTGGGGAAACTTAGTAGCAGGGAAGAGGGCAAGGGAATTGATTTGTGGTTTCGGAGGTAAAATCAACAGGTCTTGAGAAATCATTTGCTGTGGAAGCTGATGGAAAGGGAAGATTCCAGCAAGGGGCCTGGCTTTTGAGTTTGAGTAGATGGTAGGGCCACAGACCAAAGTGAGGAACCAGGAGGCAGATCAACTTTGGAGAAAACAAAGGGTTTAGTTTTGGTCATGTTAGTTTGCATTGCCCATGGAGTAGCGAGGTGGTTATTCCCTGGAGGTGGAGAGACAATCCACATGGGTAAGGTCAAAACACCAGGCTAGTCTCAGGGTAAAGCAATGGGGATATTTCCTTTGTGTAAGTTTTAAAAAAGAGAAAAATATTCTTGGTTGAAAGTGGAGAGACCTCATGCGGGAGGCCTCCTAAGTGCGGTGTGGAGACTTCTGGGGATGGCTAGGTGTTTTCTTTCAGGGCCTGTTGCTGTTCCTACAAGCATTGCCTACTGCACCAACACCAAAGGAACATGCTTGATCTCTTTTGTGAAAGTCCTAAGTCTGGTGGCTGGGGGCTGGTTGAGCCTCTGAAATATACATCCAGTGTAGGGAAGTTGCCCAGTTTCTTCATTTTTACCCCGACTACAATTAGAGGAAATCACTTGGATGAACTGAGATATTCAAAGCAACGAGAAGAAAAAGATAGACATTAATATCCTTCACACAAGATGAACTGTAGAATTTGGGGAAATTGGCACTCTTACAAAATGACATAGTATGATGATAATTTGTTTCAAAGGGACAACAGCCCAGATTACGCTAGAATTCTGCCATACCAAGCCTCTAGAAGCAGGTAGAGGAGAAATAGGGCCTCTTGGTAGTTCCAGGGCTGAGCTCCTGATGAGAAAACTGTGTTCTCTCTTTCTCTACCCAGCTTCCCCCCTGCCCTGCCCCCGCTGCAAGTTATTTGCTCCTTGATCAAACTCAAGCATTTCTTTCAGATTTAGCCAAGTGTTCCCCAGAACCTTCGGTGGTTTCCTGGGGAATGCCTTTTTTCCTGATTTTTTTCCTGTGCCAGTTGCCACAATTAATTCACTAGCATGTGTCCCCTATTTTGCAAAAATTAACTGAAAGTGCTTTAGCACCCTTCATTCCTGGGGAGGTGATCCTCAGTCATCTTTTCCAAAGTAAAGAGAAACCAAGAGCCCTCATTCTTCTTATAGCTTTCGAAAGTTAGAACTAGGTGGGACCTCAGGAAACAGGTACTGGGTTTCAAACCCAGACCTTCTGAATCAGGTTACCACATCAAGCTTTTGACTAAACCTGTGTAATCTACAGCCATAGTACAGTATTTGTACTTCATGGGGTTTTGGTAGGAAATTTTGTTTTACACAAGGCTATGATGAATGAATCATACTATATTTGAGGCATTCCAGATCGTTATGTAAGATTGGGTTCCTTGACAAAATTTGCATTGAAACATAAAATACTAAACAAGCTAAAATAATTTTCCTCCAAATGTGCAATTGCAAATTCAAAAAACTTTCCTAATTAAAATGTTGACTAAAATTTTAAATGAGTCTATTTGTTTATAGTAGAGAAAAATAAATGCAAATTTGCAATTAAATATTTGGCTACTTGAAAGAGTAGTTGCTACTTTAATTCTTCGACTAGCATGATGATGTATTTAGTTGGACACTTGACACAGCCAGAAATATATAATCCACTCAATTTAATTGTGAATCAGTCAGTAATGTCTGCATAGTGTTCATTGGGCAGAGAACGTTTTACTAGGTACTGTTTTAAGAAAAAAATTTTAGCACAGTCTCTGTCTTCGAAACCTCTGCGTGTATAGTGGGTTGAATTCTCAGAGAAAAGACATAATTCACTTCTCTGTAGCCTGTTGGGTGACTAGCAGTGTCAGAAGAATGGTGGAAAGAATTATAGGAATCTAAGGCTGATTGGTGAAGGGAATCCAGTTCTATGAGGGAGTCAGAAACAAGAAGATGATAGAATATATATGAATGAAGGAGGTGAATATGGCAAGCTAGTTTATGAGGCCTCAGTCAGCTAATTATTATAGAGGAATAGAAAAACTTTTTGATACAGAGAGGAGTGAGAAACAAAGAAAATGCTGATGGGGAGAATTTTGCAGGTTGGAGTTAAGGTCATGGGGGAAAGAGTATTCCTGGGAAAGCTATATCTATTTATCTATAGCCATTTTCTTCTAAGTAAAAATCATTTAATGTTAATCTTGGTAATAGCTAAAGCATGTTCTTTTCTGAACAAGTACATATAGAAGCTGACTATTGAGATAAGTATACAAAAGACTTCATAAGGAATCAGCATTTAAAATATTATTAATGTTTTGAGGCCATTCTGATCTGTTCTCAATTCCCAGTAGGAGATGGTCAACTTTCCCAGATTACAGGCCTTTGGATATGTGGTTCCTCCAACTGGAAGAATTCTGCCCCTCTCTTCATGGGGCCTGTTCCAGCTCATCCTTCAGATATGAGCTTAAATTACACCTTCCAAGACACCTTATAGAAAGTTGAAAGATTCCTTCCTTCCATTTTTTTTCTCTAACACAGTGCTTTAGTCACTGCCCTACTTAACACATCACATGTCTAAGTGATATATTTGCATGTTTATTTACTTTCTTACTAAATGGGTGTCTTGCTACACCATATGCTTTGTGAGGGCAAAGGCCACATTTGTTTTACTCACCACCATGAGCTAAGTGTTTACCTAACTCATTGCTTGGTATGTGGTTGAAATGAAAAGAAAAATTGCGTAATAAATTAATATATTTCTCTAATGATTTAAGTAGATAAAGTTTTAAATTATTTTTTAAACAAGAAGTTGGATATTTATTTGACATTCTTATAGCTATTTAATCCTCTGATTTAATAGCCAAGAAGTCAGTTTGACAGTGCTTCATGGCTTTGTTGATTAGAAATGAAAAATACATAATTTTTTCAATCTCCTGATCTCGGCTTAGGACCAGCATTTTCTGGTGATTTGAAAAACTGCTCATAGGCAGGTTTTCCCTGGCAAGATTGAAGAAGGTCTTTCTGCTCACTGTTTGGCCATGGCGAGCTCAGAACTGAGAAATGATTTCACAAAGTTTCATAAAAAGCACTAAAAATATAAAATTGTGACATACACAACATTTTAAAAAATAAAATTTATAAGAAACTCTAGGCATAAAGTGGAGTCCATTTAAAAAGCTGGTCTGAGAGAGATAAATGTTTATTCCTTTTTAGATTCATTTCTTCTGATGTAACTGTATTTGTATATAACTTTAGATATCCTTGTGTAACAAGTTTTCTCAAAATTTGAGGTAAGGGACATAACCATTAATGTACTTTACAAATTTTTCTGGTTAAAAATGCTTTTGGGGATCAGTTTTCCTACATGAGGTGTTTGGGTTGTAACTGCAGATGTTGCTAATGGGTGAGGAAAGTCTCTGAATGATTCTTAGGTGGAGAGTGTGTGTCTGTGTGTGTATTGCTTGTATATGTATATATTTTCTAATAAATTGTAACTATATGTGCTTTGAGAATTGCCATGGCTGAACAGCTGATGATGAAGGTACTTCATGAAGGAATTTAATATACCTTTTTAGATATTTCTGCTGTTTTTTGTTTTGCTTTGTTTTTTAAACCTAGATTAAGCGTAGATCAAGAAACTGGCAAAGGAAAGAAATTTTACCCCTTGGGTTCAAGCCACTTTCCATTGGGAAATACTCATCATGTAAAGGTAAATACTCTTATCTAGACTTTTTGCAATCTCCCAAGGCAGGAATGTACAAGCTGTATTGTAACCTTATATTGAAACCTCTAATTTCTGCTGTACCTGCATTACTTAGTTTTCTTACAAAGTATTTCATATGTTTTATATAGGTGTCTTAATGCTTTACCCTTAGTGAATAAAAGTTTTATAATGAATAGAACTACCCTCTTAAAAACTCACCACAAAACATTTTATAAAATCTTTACATTTTATTAAAAATTTTAAGTATATTGTATATATAGATACGGGGCTTCCCCGGTGGCTCAGAGGTAAAGAATTCACCTGCAATACAGGAGACGTGAGTTCAATCCTTGGGTCAGGAAGATCCCCTGGAGAAGGAAATGGCAACTCATTCTTGTCTGGAGACATGGACAGAGAAACCTGGTGGGCCGTGGGGTCACAAAGAGTTGGACATGACTTAGCAACTAGACAGCAAAAACATAAATAGATATAGCAAGCTATGCCAGTGCAGATGTATACAATTAAAAACATAATTTTGTTAAATAGAGTCATTACTAAGCAAATAGGGACTTAGGGACTGCTTTATTGAACTGAATATTAGGATATATATGTTTTATATATATATATATATATATATATATTATACTGTGATTGTAGCTGAACTTGTATGTTTAATAGTATTATCAGTTCAGTCACTCAGTCATGTCCGACTCTTTATAACCCCATGGACTGCAGCACGCCAGGCCTCCCTGTTTATCACCAACTCCCGAAGTTTACTCACTCATGTCCATTGAGTTGGTGATGCCAGCCAACTGACTCATCCTCTGTCATCCACTTCTCCTCCTGCCTTCAATCTTTCCCAGCATCAGGATTTTTTCCAAGGCGTCAGTTCTTTACATCAGGTGGCCAAAGTACTGGAGCTTCAGCTTCAGCATCAGTCCTTCCAATGAATATTCAGGAATGATTTCTTTGAGGATGGACTGGTTGGATCTCCTTGCAGTCCAAGCGACCCTCAAGAGTCTTCTCCAACAACACAGTTCAAAAGCATCAATTCTTTGGCACTCAGCTTTCTTTATAGTCCAACTCTCACATGCACACATGACTACTGGAAAAACCATAATTTTGACTAGACGGACCTTTGTTGGCAAAGTAATGTCTCTGCTTTTTAATAAGCTGTCTAGGTTGGTCATAACTTTCCTTCCAAGGAGTAAGCGTCTTTTAATTTCATGGTTGCAGTCACCATCTGCAGTGATTTTGGAGCCCCCACCCCCCCCGCAAATAAAGTCTGTCACTGTTTCCCCATCTACTTGCCATGAAGTGATGGAACCAGATGCCATGATCTTAGTTTTCTGAATGTTGAGTTTTAAGCCAATTTTTTCACTCTCCTCTTTCACTTTCATCAAAAGGCCCTTTAGTTCTTCACTTTCTGCCATAAGGTGGTGTCATTTGCCTATCTGAGGTTATTGATATTTCTCCTGGCAATCCTGATTCCAGCTTGTGCTTCATTCAGCCCAGTGTTTCTCATGATATACTCTGCATATAAGTTAAATAAGCAGGGTGACAATATACAGCCTTGACATACTCCTTTCCCAATTTGTGCTTTTTAAAAATATTTACATTTGAATCCAAAAAGAATGGTTACAATGTGTTAAAGACTATCTATAAAATTAATATTAGTGTAGGAAATACATGTGTCATATCTTTATGGCTAAATCTGCTGGGTAAAATTCTTTTAAAACATCTTTATTCTAACATAAAAATCCAAGTATATGTATATGTACTTAATATATATTATGTATGTATATATATGTATGTTATATATGTACATATATACAATCTCAAAATATACAATTTTGGCTTTAGAAAATGTAAGTTAAAAATTTTAATATTGTTGACCCAAGCACCCTGCTAATTCCCAGGTGCTCATAAGACACTGAATGTTTATTTCATGAAGACTATATATCTTCATATATATATCTTCAGTCTTGTGCTTCTGCTTGTATTTATGAAACAGATCCACAGTCAGAGCAGAGAAAGTATAAAAAGGGAAGGTCCAATTCACCATCACACAACACAGACCTTCTGTCACCTAGAACCTCAAAATGTCAGGACAGTTTGAATGCTGAAATGTAAAATGACAGTTTTTAGTTATTTGTTTCCATACCTTCCAAACAAAAACATTTTATGCAATTGTCCTTCCTGCCTGATTTAGGAAACTTCAGGTCAATTCTGCTATTGGTAATCCTTCTGGGCCTGAGGTCTCCACCATTCATTTTCTTTCTATGGGTCTCTGATATGAGTAACTGAGCTGATTCTTGAAGCATCAGTACAATTGCAAAAGCTGACAAGAGGAAAGGGATTTCCTGAAGGGAAATTCTGAAGGAAAAGGGTGAATAAGGCTATGAAGATGTGAACAGGAAGGGTTATCCAGTGAGCTTAGACTTCTGGGTGTCTAGGAGCAAAGTAGTGTTACTCCCTGGGTTTATCCCCAGAGCCAAGCACAGAGGCTGTGATAGGGTGGGTGCTAAATTCTATCCTGTGATAGGGTGGGTGCTTTTAAATGACTCAATATATTAATAAATAAAAGTAGGTTGTGGTCTAATAGTAAAGGCTTTCAAAACCATGCTAAGGCATTGATATTTTGGGGCAACTTGAGTTTTAGCAGTTTAGTGAAGTTCTGGCCAATATGGTAAAATATAGTAGGCAGGAGACCTATTATCATATGACTGTGTTAACATGGTCAGTGAGAGATAACTGAATTTAAGATAACAACTGTGGGAAATGAGAGGGAGCACTCCCATGCTCACTGCAGCACTATTTACAATAGCCAAGATGTGGAAATGACCTGTGTGCATTGATGGATGAATGAATAAACTCTGTGTGTGTGTGTGTGTGTGTGTGTGTGTGTGTATAATGGAATATTTAGTCATAAAAGAATGAAATTTTGCCATTTACAACAAAACGGATGGACCTCAAGTGCATTATGCTAAGTGAAATGAGTCAGTCAAAGACAGATGCTATATGATCTCACTTGTATATGGAATGTGGAATCTGAAATAACAACAACTTCATAGATACAGAGAACAGATTGGTGGTTGCCATAAGCAGGATTATGGGGTGGTGGAAATAGTTGAAGGGAATCAAAAGTTAAAAAAACAAGTAAGCAAACAAAGCCTAATCTTCAAGGATCAGAAGAAAACACACTTTAAAAAAGCACTTTAAAAACTACAAAGTAAGGAAATTTTGTGGCAATACTTGAAGAAGTGAGTAGGTTTGTGATGAAATAAAAATACCTAAGATGAAATCAATCTAGTATTAAAAAACCAAAGTACAGAGGTTTTAAAAATTGGTTTTATAGGACAATGACACAGTAAGTCTATGAAGAAGACATTCTTTTTGTAAGTCTATATCAATCTTGCTACATAAAATAATATAATATATGAGGGAAACATACATATATAAATATTAAATTTAAAAGGTAGCCTATGGGGAGGAGACAAGATAACCATAAAAAAGCAGGTACCTTTGTCCTGAGTTGAGCAGTTCAAATCCTTCATTGATTTTTTTTTAAAGATGTAAATCATGTGTTATCAATCGATCCAGGTCAAATTTCTTTTCCAGGAAATCATTCACCAGTTTTAGAACATGATCTCTGCTTTTCCAGTCTGTAAATAAGCATACATGCTCTCTTTAGAGTTTACTAAATGAATTTTATATTTTATTATCTTATATTTGTTCCTTCTCTCTTTTGTACTGTTACCTTTATCCTGGATGGTATTATTCTCAGCAGCACACAATGGAACTGCATTTATCCCTTCTTAAGAAACAAAGACAGAAACCTCATGAAAAAGCTTTCTTGTCCCCACAGCTTCTAACTACCTCATATCTCTTCTCCTCTTACAGAAAAACTACTTTGCAGGAAGAATTGTCTCGTGTTCTCAGTTCCACTTCCTTTTCTCTTATTTTCTCTTGAGCCCACTCAGTACCTGGCTGCTATAACGCTTGTCAAGGTCACCAGAGACAGATACTATGGTCAGTGTGAGGCCACGCCTTTTCTCTTTCCACAGTACCTGGGACACAAAAAATGAGAGGCTGTATGGTACAGAGGAGATTCTTCAGAGAGGGCTCCTTAGAGGAAATAAGACTAATTGATAAATAAACAATAAGAGATATTTGAGCTTCCTCACTTTGACTATTTGTGTGATGTATGGATATTATGGATTATTGATGAGTTAGAAGTAGAATTCACATATTCACTGAATGCCTTTTGAGTACATGCTAAGTACCAGGTGTCTTCCCTGATGGTTCAGATGGTAAAGAATCCACCTGCAATGTAGGAGTCTTGGGTTCAATCCCTTGGTCGGGAAGATAACCTGGAGAAGAAAATGGAAACCCACCCCAGTATTCTTCCCTGGAGAATCCCATGGACAGAGAAGCCTGGCAGACTACAGTCCACGGGGTTGCAAACAGTTGGACATGACTGCGTGACTAACACTTTCACTTTAAGTACCAGGTACCATTTCAGGGATGGGAACATGATGGAGGCAAAAAAAATGCCCAGTCCCTGATCTCAGGAAGAACAGGAAGCCCAAGAATCCCCTCACTTTAGTTCAGGGAGACTGACAGTAAACAAATATTGCCGAGTACATCATCAATGACGAGAACGAAGGAGAGAAATAGAGTGGGGGCAGTAGGTTGTGCAGAGGCTGAAGCTAGGGAGGTGAGGAGGGAATGTGATTTTTTTTAACGCTTAGGGAAGGCCAGTCTGATAGGGTGACATCTGAACAAAAACATAAGGGACAGGAACTATCCAGAAATCTTGGGGTAAATTAGTTCGGGGAGAAGGCAGAGTAATTATTAAGGCGTTGAGGTGAAGTGTTGGCCCATGAGAACAGTGAGGAGGCCGGTGTGTCAGGAATAGAGGAGAGCGTAGTAGTGCCTGGGCTCGGAGGGCCGGATCACATGGGGCCTTTCGGCCATCACGTGTTTTGAGATTTTACTCCTGA